GAGCTGTCCCTGACCCCCACCAGCTGCAACGCTTGGGGAGCAGGCCCTATACTTCACCTTGGTAACACAATAGAACCAACCAACAGAGGCATGGATGAAGCAGCCCGGAAGTTTTAAGTATGGGAGAGTTGTCTCCACTACTTGTAGATCATGTGGCAATGTGGGAAAGTGAGAAATGCCCCCCCTGTACTCCTTCCCCCTTATTGCCTGCAACAGACTAGAGAGTTGACCCTTCCCCTTACCAGCTGCAGCCCTCAGGAAACAGGCCCTGCTCCTTGCCCAGGCAGCACAGCACAGCAGCCCGGATGTTATGAGCAAAGGAGAGCTTCCCCCATTAATCATCTGAATCTGTGGTAGCATGGTCAGAGGAAAGATGCCCTCCCACCCATCAACACCTGAGACAGATGGAGGGGCTGCCCTGGGATCATAAGAGCAGGAGGGCTGACCCTGCCCCTCACCAGCTGCAGCACTCAGGAGAGTGGTACCTGAACCTCACCTGGGCAACACAATGGAGCTGGCCCTGATGGTGTCAGGGTGGGAGAGAGGACCCTGAGGGTGTGAAAGCAGAACAGGCCTCTCCCCCTCCCTCACTGCTACAAGAGGTGAATTTAGCTGGGGTAGAGCTGGAGAGCTCACCCTGGTGGTGACAACTGGGGAAAACTGGCGGGCAGACCAACCCTGCAGCTGCCCAGGACACCAGAACCAGGATTATGACTTGGCCTGCCCCAACAGCCACCCATCTATGATCTGATGGAGCACGTGAAGAGGCTGATCTGAAGACCCAAAGCTTCAGGATTTCCACAACACAGGACAATAACAGGATACCCAGGAGGAGTCCTAGTGAGGGCCCAGCATAGGTACTGTAGTAGAAATCAAAGGCCTTGAACCAGACCAATGACTGTTTGCAAGAAACACTTGCAAGTAATGATATATAAACAAAGCGTTTACTGCATGTCTCACTGTGCCACACTGCAGCTTCCATGATGAAACTTTTAATTTTTTCCCTTAAACTTTGTTTTATTTGGGGGGGGGTGCAGGGATGGAGGGCAGATGCAAAGGGACAGGGAAATGAATGGGATCAAGATACATGATGTAAAAGACACATAAAATTGGTGCATGCTTTTAATCCCAGCACTCAGAAGGTAGAGGCAGGTGGATCTCTGTGAGTTCGAGACCAGCCTGGTCTACAAGAGCTAGTTCCAGGACAGCCTCCAAAGCCACAGAGAAACCTTGCCTCGAGAAACAGAAAACAAAACAAAACAAAAAGACACAGAATAAAGAAAAAGAAAAGGGTGACTTAAGATGCTCACATTAAGTAATTTAAATCTAATAGAAAGTCAGTATATGAAATGTCCAGTTATCATAACATTTTTCTATAACTTAAAGTCTGATAGTCAAGAATGTTTGGCAGTCAGTACAGAATCTTTTATATAAACAGAGGGTGATTAACCAGTTTCAACAAATTTTGCTCTGCTTTGGATATATTAGAGGATTTTTAAACAATACTATTTCAAAAGCATGACCCTCAGTCACAAACAAAACTTATTAAATGCCAACTACAAATACTTGGACTGTTTTGAATTAATCTTTAATATCAGTACCAGGGTACTGTAGACACAAAAACACAACACTCACCTCAAAGGGGATAGGAGATAGTTTATTTTGGAGCCCAATATGAGTGCCCGTGGCCCAGGAACACAGATTTAGGTTATCTCAAATTCCATGGTCCAACATGGAATCAGTTTCATGAAGTTTTTATAATAACAGAAACAATGTCATGAATCAAAACGCCTTTCAAATGTATCACTGGGAACATTGTGTGGATGGATTATAGAACTGGGAGAGGAGAAAATCCTGCTATAGGCTTTCGATGCGACCTGAGAGCATTCTTAGCTCTTTGATTGGTAGAAGTAGAGTTTTATTAAGTTAATGCATTCCAAAGGGTAACTGCTAGTCACAGGATGTCAAGTTCAACTTTGTTAGTTACAAGTTTTGTCCAACCAGAGGTAAGTGAGGAATGGCACTTAGGGGGCTCAAGACAGCCTGAGATAGATGTAGTAGGTTCTGGACCTGCCCCTTCTATCTTCTCCACATCCATGAATTTCAACTTGGTCAGCCTCTCCAGGATTCCCTTTCACAGCACAGTCTGACATGCCATAAGGATTCAATAACTATTTCCTGAATGACTTAAGAAGATGCAAACAGGTGCTCTTCAACCATATGTCAATATGCTAATTATCTATAAATGTACAACTAAAACATTTTATAAACTTTTACTATTTATGAGCGTTTTCGTACATATTTATGGAGGGAGTCTATAGATAAACCCAGGGCTTTAGGGATGTCATACAAGTGCTCTGCCACAGAACTGCACTCAGAGTTTCTTTTCTTTTTATTATAGAGTTGGGTTCTCTCTTTCTATCTGTGCATGGGTTCCAGGGATTGACCTCAGGCTTGTGTTTTAGCTTGAGAGCACCATTACCCACTGAGCTGACTCCCTGGCTCTCCCTCAAAATATTTTTAAAGGGAGAAACATTTCTTGCTTACGCACTTTTATTTTGTTGTATGTGTGTTAAGGGGTCTTTTATGGTTCAGTGTTGAAGATTGCCCTCAGGGACTCACATGTGCTAAATATGTTCTCTACACTAAGTTACTCCTTTGGCCTTCTCCCTACAATCTTAAGTCTTCCTTCAGTGACAAGATTTGGACAAAATCAAAAACAAATTACTAGAGCTGGATGTGGTGGCACACGCCTTCAATCCCAGCACCCTGGAAGCAAAGACAGGCAGATTTCTGTGAGTTCCAGCCTAGCCAGGGCCACAGTGAAGTCCTGCTTCAGTAAATAAACAAAATAACCAGTAGCCATACAGAGAAACTTCCCTTCAAATTTAGCAAAGCTTCCATGTTATAGAGACAAAAAGATTAAAGGCCCAAAATAAAAATATCCCACATTCTCCAGCAGCTGGACCCTAACTGTTGGAAGCCTGACTCAGTGACTTGAGATTCCTTATGTAAACAATTCCAGTCTAATGGTCCCTCCGGGCTGCATCCCACCCAACTGGCCAGTCTCAGGACCCTTGGTGTTTACTACCTTAAGATAAATTCACTTCAAGTACAGCATCACACAAATGGCCCAGAAAGCAAGACCAGGTAGCTACTTCTAAGGGCTCTATAAGAACCCCATTTTATCTCAGAGGGGGTCATTCTCACCCCTCCATGCCCCTCCTTCATTTGTTCTTCAGCATTTCTGCCCACACCTTCTATTCTTTATTAAAACATTTGTATCAATTCTGGTCTGTAAATGCAATTATCCCTGGGCCTTGGCCTTGTCATTCTCAACACGTTAATGAAGAATATTCATGCTGGGACTAATACTGAGTGTATAATGAAAGAATTATTTTGGCTTATTTAGAAGGGTCAAAGACATCACCCTATAATAAGCTATACCATTTTACTAATTTTAATGATGTAACTATCCATCCTATTGTCACCTGATTTATTTCCTGAGAATTAAAAAAAAAAAAGATACCATGTCTTTTTTTGTTATGGTTGTTTGTTTTTTGTCTTTTTTTGTTTTCTGAGACAGGTTTTCTCAGTAGCTATGGAGCCACTTCTGGAGCTCACTCTGTAGACCAGGCTGGCTTCGAACTCACAGAGATCCATCTGCCTCTGGCTCCCGAGTGCTGGGATTAAAGGCGTGTGCTACCACCACCTGGCCTGGGTAGTTTTAAAATCAAGGTTTTCAGGGTCTGAGGGGCAGGTAGCACATGCCTTTAATCTCAGCATTCAGGAGGCAAAGACTGGTGGATCTCTGATTTTGAGGCCTGGGCTATAGAGTGAGACCGGTATCTTAGTTATTTTTATATTGCTATGCAGAAAAACCATGACAGCATATAGAAGAAAGCATTTAATTGGGGGCTTGCTTACAGTTTCAGAGGGTGAGTGAGTCCATGATCACCATGGCAGAGAGCATGGCAGCAGGCAGGTAGGCACAGTGCTGGAACAGTGCTGAGAGCTCACATAGTGATTCACAAACAGGAGCAGAGAGAAACACTAGGAGTGGAGTAAGCTTTTGAAACCTCAAAGCCAACCCCAGTGATAACACCTCCTCCAACAAGGCCACACCTCCTAATTCATCCCAAACAGTTTCACCTACAGGAGACTAAGAATTCAAGCATATGAACCTACGGGGACCATTTTCACTCAGACTACCACAATAGAACTCATGCTTTTCTGACACATTCTATTTTTTTGGGGGTTCAGGGGTAAACATCGTTACTTTTGATAGTGGCTTTAGTGTTGGGAAGCAAATCAAGGGTCTTATATATGCCAAGCATAAACTCTTTCACCCACAGCCCCTACTTTCAATTTAATTTGACCTGGGTCATTTGGGACAACCAAAAAGATGAAACCTTAAGACTCTAGACTTCATGGGATTATAAAAGTGGAAATGACCTTAATACAAAATTTAATTCTGCTTCCCATTTTCTAGTATAGCAAGTTGCATTTCTTTTCTTTTCTTTCTTTCTTTCTTTTTTTCTTTTCTTTTTTTTTTTTTTTGAGACAGGTTTCTCTGTGGGCCAGGAGCCCGGGAACTAGCTCTTGTAGACCAGGCTGGTCTCGAACTCACAGAGATCCACCTGCCTCTGCCTCACCTCCCAGTTGATTAATTATTTCTCTTTTAACTCACACCACATACATTAAACTGTTTTCTACCATGTACCTTTCAACCTTCTGTAGAAAATATGAGTAAACCAGTTGTTAGTATGAATGCTTTTATAACACAGTACTAAGGGTCAAATGCACAGTTCATACAAACTGAGTTACACCCCTAGTCTAATATGAGTACCTTCATTAAGAGAATAACAATGGACTTTGATAGTTTGTTCTTTGAATACTTAATAGAAGCATAAAATAGAAAACACAAAATGCCACAAGGATCCAGGAAAGGGGCTAAATTCTTCTTCCTATGTTCTAACCATCTCTTTTTCTCTCTGAAGTACTCTGTATCTTTCCAGATAGTTGGACCAGAGGGATAAGGCTCCTCCCTATCAGGAATGCATGGAAGAAAAGTGTTTTCTCATCATTTTAAGACAACAGCACACATGTAAACCAATCTCAACCAAAGAGTAGAGGGTTGAGGATGCCACTCAGAGAACCTGCCTCGCTTCCTGGTGTTTGATCTCCAGCACTACAAAAAAGAAACAGCATGATGGCAAGAAGGAGAAACATTTGCACTGTTCCAAAGACATGAGATACTTATGTTTTTTTTAAATCGTTGATTTTTGTGCATATATAATGTATGTATGGGCACACAGGCACCACACTGCATGTATGGAAGGCCAAGGAACATTTTTTAGAGTTTTTTTCCTTCCACTGTGGGGTCAGGGGATCACTTTTAGTCATGGAGCCATCTTTCTGGCTTGGCATGGTACTTTCTTATTATTTATTATTTTTATTTATGTATATGTGGGATGTGTGTGCCTGTGTTGAGTTTATGTGCACCACATGTGTGCAAGTGCCCATGGAGGATAGAGGGTGTTGGATCCCCAGAACTAAAGTTACAGGCAGTAGTGAGTCTCCTAATGTTGGCACAGGGGTCTTCTGCAAGATCAGTAAGCACTCTTAAAATCTGAGCCATTCCTGCAGCCCTGAGGTGAGGTACTTGTGGTGATATTTTGTTTATGATCTAATAAAGCTTGCCGAAGATCAGAGAGCAGAGGTAAGCCACTAGTTAGTCACACGCACACACACGCACACACACACACACACACACACACACACACACACACACACAGCTACTAGTTAGCCGTAGAGGACCGACAGTGGTAGTCACACCTTTAATCCCAGCACTCAGGAGACAGAGGCAGATGGGTTTCCGTGAGTTCAACGCCACCTTGGGCTACATGAGAACGAATCAGTCTAAAAGAGAAATGGAGTTCACGCTTTTAATTCCAGCACTAGAGAGGAATATTAAGGCAAGAGCTCAGAGCAGTCTGAGGTATTTGGCAGAGAGCATTGCAGTCTGCAGTTAAGCTGAGGACAGGATCACCCCTCTTTGGTATTAGTCTTGGTAGAGGTAAGAACTCTCTAGTGGTTTGGCTGCTTTGCTTTTCTGATCTTCAGCTTGAACACCAAAATCTGTCTCTGGGTTTTTATTAATCGTGCTACAGATAATTTCTAAAAACATCAAATCAAATCAACCAACCAAATGAACAAAAATGCCTTCTGTTGCCCAACATGGTGGCATACACCTATGATCAGAGTACTTGGAGGTAAAGGTAGTAAGATCTGAGTTCAAAACTAGCCCCAGCCACAGAGCAAATTTCAGGCCAGACAAACAATAACAACAAAAAGATCCCATGGGATGTGGTGGTACAAGCCTGTTTCTCAGCAGTCCAGAGACTGAGGCAGGAGGATCTAGAGTTACAAACCAGGAAGTTCCTGTCTCAAAAAGAACATATACATACTTTACAATATAATTTTCAAGTAAGTCTCACCTATGGAATCTGGATTAAAGATAAATTAAAGATAAATTGTCAAACCTGAATAATGGCAAAATTTCATGTTGTTCCTTTTCATGTGAATAATGCATGTGTGAATAATACATGGACATAACCTAGTGTGCCTTTGATTCATTTTTCAATGACTTCTTTTGCCATACAAAAATAAAACAAATTCAATTTTTTTATTTTAAAATAGAATTTATTGAACACTGCAGGGAATTCAATACACTAAAAGTTGTTTTTCTTGTCAGAATTGGCACATGATAAAGAGTTTTACTTACTTCAAAATTAACACTGCAAAATTTAAGTTTTAAACCATGTTCCATAAAAAGTAAAGTCTAGCAGTGTTATAAAAATATCAATTTGTACTAACTTACATAGAAAAGGTGTTAGAAAAAGAATTCCATATACAAATCAACCACCTAAGAAGTAAAAATCCAATTATGTTTTTTAAAAGGGTAGAAGGGGAAAACAGACAAAAGCTACTGAATTTACGCTCACTTCTCCTACTGGGAAGTTGCAGGATAACCAGATATACTTTAGATATTTTTAAATGTACATTTCAAAGGAATAGCAAGGCTGTTTATAATACGTTTAATGCCTCATCAAAACCATTTTGTGGCCAACTGATCATGTGCTACAACCTTGAGTTGATTCAACCTATTTTTCTTATTCATGGAAAACTACAAAAGCTTCTTTAAGCAGAGTAGTCTACCAGCCAGGAAGACAACTTCCAGTTCTGAAAGTTGACTGACTGTAATCAAGCCAAAGGCAGGAGGATCTCTGTGAGTTCAAGGCCAATCTGGTCTACAGAGTGAATTCCAGGACACCCAAAGCTACACAGAGAAACCTGTCTTGAAAAAACAAAACAAACCAAACAAAAAAATGTGGACACTGAAAGAGCAAAGAAAACTAGAAAGATCATTAGTATTTATTAAAAATATGCCATTCCACCAGAACCTGTCTGCCCATTTAACTAAAATACATGAATGACAGCAGCATATGGGACAAAGGTATCTTCCTTCAAAGGGGTATTAAATTACACTCTACTATAAAGAATTGCTAATCAAAAGTAAAACTTAGAAGCTAGAAGTAAATAAAATGCATTTAAGTTCAATGATTTCTATTTTCTAAGCCACAAGTGTGGAGCTTACTAGCAAGTATTTTGTAATAAATGCTAATAAATATAATAAACTTTGTTTTTAAAGGGTGTTCAAGGGGAAGAAATCCAACTTCTCTACCTCTTAAAAATTATTGGTGTTAGGTAAGCAAGAGAGGGAGAGATGGCAAATTCTCAGAGTCAAATTTTCAGCTCTGGTTATCTATTCACTTTTATTTCCAAGATCCAGTATTTATGTATTTTATTTTCTTTAGGAGCTATTTTCATCTATGTTGCTAAGAGGGTTGTTTAAGTACATATGAAATTGGCAGTAAGGATAGAGAGACTCTGGGAAATTCTTTTTGTTATTTATAGCTACTTAGTAAGCAGTGCCGGGGTAGGCACTTGGAACATGGTGGGCAAGTTCTCCAACACTCCAGCCCATATGTAAGACTTCAATTACAACAATATAATGGGTGGGTAAAAGAGACTTTGTTTCAAATAAGTCTGAATTCAGATATTTCTGGATGTGTTAATATTTTACTGGAGCAATGGTTTAAATTAAGAAATTAAATATTAGTTACAAATTAATGAAACAAATTATTTTAAGAAATTGTGTTATTTCAACGTAGTTTTTAAAAGACTAATTTTCTTTAACAGTCTTCATAAAACGTAACTGGTGCTTTTAATATCGGATTTGAAGGAGGATGCAGATGTTAGTAAAACAGCTGTATTTTGGCAAGCATTTTATTGACATTATAAGTGAAAGTACAGTTAGAATTGTAAAATGGCACTTAACTTGTCTCTCTTGTTAGACAGCTCGTTTGCTGTAAACAGAAGACCCCAGGCCTGTACTGAATAGAATGGGGCTGTTGGTGCAGCCTCTCCGTCATTTACTCAGCAAAAGTTAACAATTAAACAAAAGCATCTAATTGAACTTTCGTTCAAATATCAAAGGTCTAGTCCATTTTTCAACACACTAGTTTTTACCTTTGAATAAGCTGAGTTGGTTTTAACATTAAAGACTGGGTTTGTTCACATAGCACGTGCATTATTTACACAGAAATGCAAAATCCTGAGCTTTTGTAATGACTTGTCACTTGGTACTTTCTCAGAGAAATTAAAATAATTTGAGAGCTAATTTCACCTCTAATTTCTAGAAAAACACCTGAGATTTTGCAAAGAATGAAAAGAAAATTATTTCTTTCAAGTTGCAAGTTAGCAGAGTGATAACTACTGCTAGTTAGCACTACTCATATAAAGTTCTAACTACTCATCTTGGAGGTGTGAAAACGGATGAACAAGAGTACATTTGTACCCTGAACAGCACACATCCCTCCCAGGTCAGCAGGGCTCACTTATGGGAAGAGGACTGGAAACCAGGGGTGATGACAGATGATGGGAAGATTGTCAGGATGGTCCAGGCAAACAATAAATTATACATATAATATCTAGTCAGATAAAAATTTAAAAGATAAAACCTGACCTAATCAATGGAATCAAATTTCAAAGATCAGAAAAACCAAAATAAAACTTGAGTAAGTACGGAAGTTTAATCTGTATCTTCAAGTAAATGGAGTACTGATAGAAACTAGATTCAGTTTTTGTGTCCTTCTAATGTCTATTTCTATATATTATGTTTCCTTCTATCTAAAAAACACTCTAATATAATACATATGCAGCCTGAATTAATCTAGGTACTCAAGTTTTAAAAAGGGTTACAAGTCTTTAAAAACCTAAAACTACAAGGCAGAAGAGATGGCTCAGCAGTTAAGAGCACTGGTTGCTCTTCCAGAGGACCTGGGTTCAAGTCCCAGCACCCACATGGCAGCTTACAGCCATCTGCAACTCCAGTCCCAAGGGATCCAACACCCTCTTCCAGTTTCCATGGGCACCAGGCATGGATGTGGTGCACAGCCAGACATGTATACAGGCAAAATACCGATACACATGAAATCAAAATAAAGGCAAAGAAAAATTTTTAAACTGAAACTATAAAGGGATGTGTTACTATGTACTCCCTTGTATTTTTTTTAAACTTGTACATGATATAAAGACCACTTTTTTGCTGCTGAAATGCTTTCTTGGACAGCCTTAAGCAGTTATTCCTGTAGAGGGGATAAGATTTGCATAAATCTTTAACAACAACATCTACTCAAGAAACTTGATTTGACACTTATAAATGATCTATCCTTAAATTTTGGAGAAATATTTTAGTAAGAAAAGTACAGGTGAGAGTCAAGGTGGCTTTTTTTTTTTTTTTTAGAAAAATATAATGTATACATTTGGAAACTATAGAAACCCTATGTTTTTCATTGATTGTGAAGGCACAACTTTAACATAGTTAAAAGAAAATGCATTTTCACTATGTATGATGAATTTTACCAGGTCATAAAAATATATGGATTGGCAAACATCACTGCAAATGTTTCCAATTTTCAGTTCAAACCTTGATTTAAAACAATTGGGAGGCAGAGGCAGGAGGACTGTGAGCTCCAATACCGACTGTCTCAAAAACCAAAATAAAAAGGGGTATGTGTGGCAAATTCTATTTGTAAAAAATCAACAGCACATCATTGTAGGTCCACATAATTACTGCTGCACAGCCTGCTCATCAGTAGTCACTGGGCTCTCTTCATTTGTTGAACAGTCCAGATGGTTCATTACCTAGGCATAAAATGAAAGATATCAGAAAATGCAAATGTTAACCCTTCTTCCAGGCTTCTGGTTTTGTGTCGCGCGCGCGCGCGCGTGCGTGCGTGTGTGTGTGTTTGCATGTGTGCATCCTTGTAAACAGGCACGTGTATGCACATGTGTGTAGTTATCGTCCTCAGCTGCCTTCCACTGTTGCTAAGCCTGGCGTTTGCTGGCCAGAGAGTTCCAGGGTCCTTCTATCTCCACGACCTATCCCCACTGAACTTAGCTTTCTTTTATTTATTTATTTTTTTTACTTTTATATTTTTAAGATAGAGTCTCACTTATGTAGTCTTGGGTAGCCTGACACTAACAGAGATCCATATGCCTCTGCCTCCAGAGTGCTGAGATTGATTAAAAAGCAAGCATCACCAAGCCTGAGCCTTTCCACATGGCTTTCAAATGAGTGCTGGGCATTTAGAATCACACCTTCATGCCTGTTCAGAAAGCAATTTACAAACGGAGCTATGGCCCCACCCCACCCCCTTTCCCTTTTATTAAAAACATTCTTTTCTCATTACAATATATCCTGATCACAGTTTCCCTTTCCTCTATTCCTCCTGGTCCCCTCCCCCTCCAAGATCCAACTGAGCTACTTCCCCAGCCATCCCATGCCCCAATTTTTAATCCCAGCACTCAGGAGGCTGGGGGTTGGGGGGTAGGATCTCTGTGAGTTCAAAGCCAGCCTGGTCTACACAGTAAGTTGCAGGACAGCCAGAGTTACACAGAGAGACCTTATCTCAAAACCAAAAAAAGAGTAATCTTGGGGCAAGAAAGGGATGGCTCAGAGGTTAAGAGCACTTGCTATCAGTCTGGTCCCCAGCACCCTCTTTGGTGAGACCACAACTGCAAGTAATTCTAGCGCCAGGGGGATCCTTTGCCTCTGACCACCATACCTGCATTAAGGTGTATACACCCACATACATACACATAATTAAAAATAAAAATAAACCTTAAAAACCAAGTGACCCCAAGGAACCAAGCATTTCTTCTGAAACACTGCTCAGGTCAACATCATGCTTAACTTCGCAGAAGGATGGATTATAAGACTCGCAGCCCATAGGAATACTGCATTTTCTGGATCTTCCATTTATTGTGAATATTGCCCTTTGTAGCAGTGAGAATTCCACTTCAAAAGAAGACTTATGAGGGAGTGTGCACTTGTGTAAGTGGAGAGCTAAAAATGATTGCAGAAGTTGGTATGAAAATGCCTGCTGGCTCTGCATTATTAAGATAATGTAAGGATAACATAGGAAGCTACCTTTAATTCTAGTACTTGAGAGGCAAAGGAAGTCAGATATCTATGAGTTTCAGACCAGTCTGGTCTACATAGCAAGTTCTAGGCAAGCCAGGACTACATGGTGAATATCTCGAGACACACGCACATGTACACACTGAATTCCTCTCACACCAAGCAAACAAAATCAACAAAAAGCCACCACCACCACTCAAGCAAGTAAAAGAATGATACATGAAAGTTTGGAAATATTGCATAAATAAAAATTCCTACTAATAAAAATGCAAACAAGAGTACTTAAACACTTAAAAACAAATCAAATGGATTCAATAATAGAATGTTTTAAAGGCATTACAAGTGAAGTTTTTTTACATCAACTCTACCCATATTCTATTTTTTAAAAAATTTTAAATATTAGCTGGGCGGTAGTGGCACATGCCTTTAATCTCAGCACTTGGGAGGCAGAAGCAGGCAGACCTCTGAGTTTGAAGCCAGCCTGATCTACAGAGTAAGTTCCAGAACAGGCTCCAAAGCTAAACAGAGAAACCCTGTCTCAAAAAAAAAAAAAAAAAAGAAAAGAAAAGAAAAAGAAAAATTAAATATTCAGAAATGCAGGAAAAAGGACATGCTTAAATATTTCAAATCTTTTTTTACCCTGTTCTTCAGATAAAATTACTTAAAAATAGAAAATGTGATCTTTGTAAAAATTGTCAAAGACTTTTAGGTCAATTAATGACTAGATTTCAGTATCATTATATGTTTTCTTTTCTCTGTTACTGAGAATCAGAAGATGGAAAAGCAAGCAATAAATTTTTCTTTCTTTTTTTTTTAAGATTCTACATATTTCTTTCTTTCTTTCTTTCTTTCTTTCTTTTTTTTTTTTTTTTGAAGGAGGGTTTTCTGGACTTTCCAAACAAGAGTGCCTCTAACCTGAGGCTTTCAGCTGACAAGCACCTCAACCAATGGGGACACTTCCAGTAAAGTTCACCTGTCAGCAACCGAAGTTATCAAAGGCCATAGTCGTTTATTTGGCCCTTTATCTGTCAAAGATAACACCTAGATTAAGGCAGTTCATGTTCACAGCACTTCTAGGAGAGAGAGAAATCAAAGGATGGGGATGTAAAAGGATTGCTTAGCATATGGAAGCCCTGAGTTTCTTTTACAGCATCACAAAAATACACAATAAACTTAAATGTGTTTAGAAACAAATAAAAGCCAGGATAGGTAACATTAAGCACTCCACAACATGAGACATAAGGGCAGTTCATTTTCATCACATTTAAGATTATAGATATATACATAGATACACTTAGGACCCCTTTCTCCTGACAAAAGGCCAGGGCTGTGCTCCCTATGGCCTGAAGCAGCCATAGGGAGGGAGAAGGATGGGGAAAACACAACCCTTTTCTTCTCTGTGATCTGTGTACCTGGCAACCACCCTGGAGAGTAAGAGCTATGTATCCAGCATTATAACAGGCTTCTGCTTTCCTAATTCTTAGGTATCACACTGGGTACTATAATCCCAGCCCTAAATATAGATATATTAATTAACCAGTCATGGTAGTACATGGCTGTGATCCTGGCACGTAGGAAGTTGAAGCAGGAGTCTGAATTTTCAGGCAACCTAGACTACACAGTGAGACACTCTCCCTGTGTTCCCAAAACAAAGCTAAACAAACAACAACAAAACAATGTCAAAGTCTACTAATTGAAAGTTATCATTTCTACTTCCTGTTCTCTAAGATTTCAGTAAAAACAATAGAGAAATACACAGAACAAACATGAAGTATTTATAAAAACTCAACAAACCTACACAGCCATTAAAATTAACTGGCAAAATCATTATTTCACATTTGTAAATAGGCAATCTGTTTGAAAATGTGTCCTTTGAAACTGGGCCAGCCAACCTGGCATTTTCAAAGTTCTACTTGTTCAGAACTAATCTCTGAAAACTTCCTAATAAATTAACCTGAGTAACTGGAGCTCCTGATCCTCAAGCAGTCACTGTAAGTACCTTTGTATCCCAACTCGTGACTTATAGCTTGTGACTTCTAAAAATAATTACAAGTGCCAGTGACTTTAACAGACACACTGCTCACTGGATATCAACAGGCTGAGAGCATCAGAACAAATAGCTTGTTTGAAGCTATTACACGGATTTCATTCCACTTGATTTACTATTAGAAAAACAAAATACCACCCCACAAACCTTAAACTCTACTTCATTTTTCTCTCATGTGGACTCTGGGAACGATACTCAGGTCCTCTGCAAGAACAGCAAGTGTTCTCAACCATTAAGCCATCTCTCTAGCACCTGTATATTTTTCAAGACTTATTTTCTTTTTAGTAAATAAATACGTGCATGTGAGTGCAGGAATCCTCTAAGGTGTGTAGGGTTCCCAGAACAAGAGTTACTGACAGTTGTGAGCTGCTTGGATGTCAGTGCTGGGAAATGAGCTGTGGTCCTTTAGAAGATCAATGTATCTCTGAACTGTAGGGAGAAACCCTGACTAGAGGTACCTGTGACCAGGCCCAAGCAGGCGCGGTCAGTGGTACCTCTAATCAGGGTTTCTCCCTATAATCAGGGTTTCTCCCTACACTGAACTATGTCTGCAACCTCACTTCTGTATTTCTTATCTGAAAAATACAAAAATGAGGACTGGAGAGATGGATGAGTGGTTAAAAGTGCTTGCTGCTCTTCAGAGGCCCCTGAGTTTAGTTCCTAGTATAAACCTGTAAGCCCTCCTTCAAGTGATCTTCTAGCCTCTGCAGGCACCTCCCCCACTGAGCATAAATATATCTTAAAACGTTTTAATTAAAAATACAAATACAAGCTGAGGAACGGTGCCAGACTCTTATGATCACAGCATGCAGGAGAGTAAAGCAGGAGGATTTCTGAAAGTCCAGGGTTATCTATCAGGCACTACATTTGAGATTAACACAGCCTGGATTTCAGCGTGAGGCCCTGTCTTAAAAGACTCAAAACCTAAACCCAAACCAACCAGTAAACAAATATATTACTTTCCAATCAAAACACACAGAAGAATTACTGAAGTAAAAAACAGTCTATAGACAGACAATAAGAACATTAGCTGCCAATGACATTAACTTACATTCACTTAAGTAGAACAAAAAAGGCCAGATGTACTGCAATGAACATCTTTTCATGTCAATTTTACCATTTCCCAGAAAATCCCTTAAGAAGAAATGTCTGGGTAAAAATAAATGATAAAGAATGCAGCAAATATACTATTTTTTTCCCAACACAGGATTTCTTTGTGCAGCTCTGGCTGTCCTGGAATTCACTCTGTAGACCAGGTTGCCTCAAACTCAGAGATTCACCTGCCTTTGCCTCCCAAGTGCAGGGATTAAAGGCGTGGGCTGCTGTTGCTGCTGCCACCACCACCACTACCCAGTGAATAGTAATATACAGCCAGCAGTTTTTTTTTTTTTTAAAGAAATTATAAATGAAATACACCACACCCTAGTGTGGTGGTTTGAATAGCAATTCAAACACACTCAGGTGTTTGAATGCTTGGCTCATAGGGAATGGCACTATTGGAGGTGAGGCCTTGTTGGAGGAAGTGTGTCACTGTGGGGGCGGTCTTTAAGGTCTCCTATGCACAAGCTATGCCCAGTGTGACACACAGTCTCCTTCTGATGCCTGTGGATCAAGATGTAGAATGCTCAGTTCCTCTCCATCATCAGGTCTGCCTGCACACTGTCATGCTTCTTGCCATGACAATAATAGACTAAACTTTTGCAACTGGAAGCCAGCCATGAATTAAATGTTTCCTTTATCAGAGATGCCATGCTCATGGTGCCTCTGACAGCAGTGGAAACCCTAAGAAAAGGCCCTTCATCCATACTCAAACACTAGAGCTTCCCTAAGTTCCATTCAGTTCTCAGAACGTACCGGCATTCTTCCCTTGCGACATCTGAAGACATGGTTCCTTTAAGATGAACATATAGTCCACTTTTAAGTGAGATTTAAACAGTTTTTAGAAGCCTTTCTCTAAATCACCCATTAACCTGTCCTGAATTCTTGGCCCTACATGTCCCATCCCTAGGTACCATGACACTTAGCCATTATCAATGCATTCACAATTTATGTCTAATGACTCTGTCTGTGCTTCCTAGGAATTTCACAAGGTCACAGGAGGAGGTCTGCTTGAAACTTGTTCATCCTGTAGAGTCAGTGTCTGAAATCATACTTACCCCAAAGAGCTGTTCAATAAATAATCATTAAATGCAGAAATATAAAACTATTAAAAAGGATAAAGAGCCATTTTGATGATAAGACATTCAAAAATTAGTAGTAGTTTTAGGACACACTTTTATCTTATTAATTGATTAAAATAGGGTGTCTAACTTGCTATGTGTTTGAGGTTGGCCTTGAACTCCTCATCCTCCAGTCTCCATCTCCCAAGAGTTGGGATTACAAGTGTGGGAAATATACATGACTGGATACTCTTTTATTTACACACACACACACACACACACACACACACACACACACACACCTACCATATGGGAGCTCTAGGTTTGATCTCCAGCATTGGGGAAAAAAAAATTGATGTGGACGTCAACTTCATGGAAAAATTATCAGCTATCTTACTAGTTTAATGAAGGACCTTGTAAGCATAACAACTTTCTATACACATTAATGCAGGCTGAAACAATAGCAGTGATAAGTGGGTAAGGTAGGTATTATTATTTTATTTAAATCTCAAAAAGAAATTGCAATATTTACCAGGAAGAATTCTAAACCAGCACCTTTTCAGTTATAGAAGCCTGAAATATAATGTTGGCCATCTCTTCTTAAATACAACAAAAGATACTGTGAGAGATTTGAACTGTTTCTCTGGTAAGAATAGTTGCAGCCACCTACTCTAAGTGTCTCTCTGTGTATATGACTACTGACACACATGCATGAGGATGTGGTGCGGGGGACAGTTCTCTCTACTGCAACAAATCAAAAACAACTGCTTAACAAAATGCCTCTGGGAAGGGGCCAGTACTGCGTAGGAAGGGGGGGGGCTCCTCAACTCTCTTCAATTTTGATGCAAACCAACGTTTCTGGACTAGCAGGAACATTTAGGAAAGAGAAAGAGATTCTGAAATTATGATTTTCTTTGTTATAGGAATTTTAAAGAAAGGACAATCTTGATCCACTTAAGTCTGACATGAGTACCTACCTGAAGTTAGTTTGGTACATTCAAATGCTGGAGAGAATATATATTTTTCATTTTCAAAACCTTAGGTCTCTCTCTTACTATCAATTTCTCATGTCAGTTTCAAACTTCAGCATTTATTTTATATAGTTGCATCTTGCATGATGTTTATAGGGATTTTAATACATGTTGCAATGCTCTGCTTTCCCAATGTCTTCTCACAATAACTTTACAGGGCTTTGGCATTCACTTACAGTGGGCACCAAGAACCCATGCCACAGCAGGCAGATGTCAATGGGGTGAACAGAAGGACCTCAGGGCATCCTGTGGTTACACTAAGCTTCTGACACATAAAGATTTGCTATAGATGGGCTATAGCACAATAGCTAGTGAATTATAAAATATAAGCACATACCTGATAGCTGTTCCCTTTCCAGAACTTTTTCATCTCCTTACGACTCCAAGCAACGACTGAGGCAGCAAGAAGTGTACAAGGTACTAAATACAGGAGAGCAGGCTGCCCCTTCTTCATCAGCACCAGGACAACAAATGTAATTATCATGCCAACAGCATAGGCTGTGGGAAAACAGAAGCCAGGTCAATTTTACATGCTTCCAGGAGTGGGTTCTCCCTTCCCCATTAAAATATTAGTTTTCAAATATTTCTGAAGACATCTTTAAATAAGACCTATTTTTAAAATTATGGGTTTGTATCTTTGTGTGGATTTGTGACCGTGACTGCAGGTTCCTGCGGTTAGAGGTGTCCTAGGCCCTAGAACTGGTGTTATAGGCACATGAGTCAACTGCAATGGGTCCTGGGCTTTTACAATTGCCTGACACTGCAGCTCCAAGAGGGCCTGATGATTCTGGCCTCTTCCGTGCACCTGCACTCACCAGAGGCACACATGTCACATAAGTAGAAACAAACCAAACCTTAAGATTGCCCCAGTGCAGTCTACAGACTCCCTTAACAAGTACATAGTTTCCTACTGGTCTGGCATGCTGTATGAGTACAGGGTCTGGGACTGCTGAAGCTGCAAAGATCTTACAGGCAATTTAGTCTAGCTACATAATGTACAGATGAGTTGATGGAAGACCAGGGAGGTTAAGTGAGCTGCCCAAAGTCACACAGCAGAATTGACAAATACTCCTATTGCTGTCTTTTGACTGAGCATTCTTGATTCCATCATATTGACTGGTACTGTGTTGTGGAAATTACTTTATGTAAAGATGTGTTACATTTGTTTATGCTGCAGAATATTAACTGTGTAAAGGTGTGTTACTCTTGTTTTATGCTGCATTTGTTTAATGATGTAAGGATGTGTGTTTAATTATGTGAAGATGTGTTGCTTTTTTTCCCACCTTGCCTGCCTAAGGCACCTGATTGATCTAATAAAGAGCTGAATGGCCAATAGTAAGACAGGAGAAAGGATAAGCGGGGCTGGCAAGCAGACAGAATAAATAGGAGGAGAAATCTAGGCTCAAAAAAAGAGGAAAAGGAAGAAAGAGAGGAGGAGAGAATGAGGGAGACACCTGGGGCAAGAAGCCAGGCAGCCACTGCCAGCAAGCCAGCCAGCCAGACACGAGAAGCAGTGAAAGTAAGATATTCAGAAAAAGTAAAAAGCCCCAAGGCAAAAGGTAGATGAAGAGTAACAGTTTAAGTTAAAAGAGTTAGCTAGAAAAGAGGTAAGCTAAGGCTGAGCATTCAAAACTAATTAAGTTGGCTCTGTGTAGTGATTTGGGAGCTGGCTGGTCACCAACAAGAAAAGGCACGGTGCAGTACTGGGTGCTACTCCCATTAGAGGGTGCTGTACTTACTTCCTCAAGTCTCTTGCTACTATATGGGTCATCTGTTTCCCCTTCCCTCCCCCCTCCTCTGTTCTTTCTCTCTTTACTTCCCTCTGGTCCTTTCTCCACTTCCTTTCCTTCCCCTCACTTAGCTTTCTTTCATGCTGTTAGGGTTCCCATTTCTTTCATGCTGTTGGGGTTCCCATTTCTAGTGTCATTGTTCTCTCCTAACACGGAGACTAACTCTACATGAACTAGAAAGCCTTGCAGGGGAGTCTGTGACTCTGGCTCAGGCCATTTGCCCAAGCACCCAGAGCTTTTGGTGCATGGATGTTGAAATACCCATCCAGAATACTCAGAGATAGCAGAGCTTTTTCTTTTCAATGTCTTATTGTTAACATTTCAATAACTGAAACATAAGTACCAGGGAACTAACAACTCACAACATTAATTCATTTATATACTTATGGTTATCTATACACTATGCTAGAAAAGTCAAGTAATAAACATTTTAGGTGCTACTTGTGTTCCAGGTATTTTAAGAAACATATATAAAACCTCAATTTTTTAAAAGGCAGGGTCTCACTACATAGCCCTGGCTGTCCTAGAACTTGCTCTATACACCAGTCTGGCCTCAAATTCACTGAGATCCACCTGTCTCTACCTCCTAAGTGCTGGGATTAAAGGCATGCTCCTGGTAAATACTCAACTTTTAATTTAAAGTCTCTAAAATCTTGTGATATAAATTACAGAGTATGATTGTCCTATTAATTTGTTTTTTTTTTCTGAGACAGGTTTTCATGGAAACCAGATTAGCCTTGAACTTGATAAGCAATCAAGAATACCCTTGAACTTTTCATTTTCTGGAGTACTAGAATTACAAATGTGTACCACTATTCCTGGCTTTAATTATCCTTGGGTATTTGGGGGCGAGGTGGCAGGGGTCAGAGACAGGGTTTCTCTGTGTAGCCCTAACTGTCCTGGAACTCACTCTGTAGACCAGGCTGGCCTCAAACTCAGAGATCCACCTGCCTCTGAGAACTGGGCTCAAAGGCACATGCACCACACTCAGATTTATTTTATTATTATATGTGTATAGGTGTTTTGCTGCATGCAGGTATGTGTACCATGTGTGTGTCTGGTGCCCTCAGAGGTCAGTAAAGGGAGTCAGATACCTGGGATTGAAGTTACAGACAACTGTGAGACACCAAGTAGAGGCTAGGATTTGAACCTAGGTCCTCTGCAAGAGCAACATGTTCTCTTAACTGCTGTGCTGACTCTTCAGCCCAACATTTCACTATTTAAAATCATAAAATCTGACTATCCTTACAGGTTATTTGAATGAGCTTTAGTTTACATATAACTTCTAAAGTAAGTGTTCTATTAACTTTTTACTAGATTTGCTGTTTCATGTATTTCCATTTTTTCTTAAAGGAGTACTTAGCTGGTCGGTGGTGTGGCACACCCTTGATCCCAGCACTAGGGAGGCAGAAGCAGGCAGATCTCTGAGTTCCAGGCCAGCCTGGTCTAAAGATTGAGTTCCGGGATAGCTAGGGCTACACAGGGAAACCCTGCCTTAGGGAAAAAAAAAAGTGGTACTTATTGAAAGGAAAAGTATCAGCTCAGGATCCCCCAAAGCCAACTTCTTAGCACAAAGGAGTTTTTTTTTGTTTGTTTGTTTTGTTTTTTGTTTTTTTTGCTCCAGAGGGACAAAGGACTATCTCTGGGCAGAGAGGAGATATATGTGGCTCATAGGCAAACGGCAGCTCATAAAGTTAAAAGGGGAAACCCTGTGTTAGGATGAGGTGGTGTTTAAATTTGATTGGGCATGAACCAAAGGGGGCTTTAGTTGCTGGACTTCAATACTTTGGTAGCTGGACATTGGTAATCAGCCTCAGGAGGAAGAAGTGGTCAAATAAGGGAACAGATCTTGGCGGCTAGCTTTAGAGATGTAATCTAACAGTTTTTTGTTGTTGTTGTTGTTGTTTTGTTTTGTTTTTGTCTGTTTGTTTAAATTGGGGAATGGGGAGAAGGGCAAGGCCTGCCAGAGCCATGCCCACCACACTTGAGCTGATCAGAGTCCCTGCACTAAGCTCCCCACCAAAATATAGCTCTTCAGACCAAAGCTCATATTATTAGTAACTCTATTTTGGGGGACATATTTCTGTGTGAGCCTTTAACATTTACTACTTACTTACTTATGTGCATTTATGTATTTATTGAGTCAGGGCCTCATGTATTCAAGGATGCTCAGACTGCTCAGATAGCTGAGGACTATCTTTAATTCCTGGTCCTCCTGCCTCTATCACCCACATGTTGACATTACAGGTAAGCCATCATACTGGTGTATGTGGAGCTGGGGGCCAAGCCTAAGGCACTATGCAACTGGACAGGTACTCCACCAACTGAACTACCCCCAGCCTGACATCTGCTTTCATAATTTAATTTTTAAATACTATTTCATGGATTTATGCCTAGGACTATGCACATGATCTATAACACTTCATGTAAAAGTCATAAAAAGAGGGAAACAGACTAGCTTTTTTTAGCCCTTTGTTTTTTTTTTCTCCATACAATATAATGCAACACAATAAAAACAAATGAACTTTACCAATTGTAGATGAAATAAAGTATATAGAAGAAGAACCAGTCTGAACATCAAATCTTCTACAATATGCAATCAACAGGCCTAAAAGAAAATTCACATTATTTTCTTAAAACAGTAATAATATTACAAAATCAACTGCTATAATGGGCAACAATACTGGTTGTATTTCACTTTCGTTTTTTGTACTATAAGACCATTAAAGTATCTTGAATTATGAACCAACTTTCATATATTGATTTTTAAAATTTGATAGCATACTTTAAACATTTCTCCTAAGCCATTCAATAGTATTTGAAAACTATGACCTTTATTAGCTGTTCAATATTCCATATTAGAGAGAAAATATTTTTATGTTTCATATATATATGGAGAGAGAGACAGAGAGAGACAGAGAGAGAGAGAGAAAGAGAGAGAGAGAGAGGATGATGATGATGATGACAGGAAATCTCCCACTCTGCAAAGGAAGCAGTCAACAGAGTGAGGAGAAAGCCTATGCAATGGGAGTATCTGCAAACACATCTGATAAGGGCTAATACCTAACACATGTGGGGATCCCAAACAAGCCAACAGTAAGAAAAAACATAACCCAATGAGAAAATGGGCAGAAGACTACGTCAGCATTTCTTGGATTTGCCTAGTAGGGCTAAAGCCCTAACAACAAATAACAACAACAACAAAAAATTAAAAACAGGCTAGGCATGGTGGCATAACCTTGTAATTCAAGGACTTGGGAGACCAAGACAGGAGGATCATGATATTGAGTCCAGCTTGGGCTACATAGCTACATAGCAAAGACTGTTTTAAACAAACAAGTCTATGATGTGACTCAGCAATTCCACTACAGGGCAAAAATCCAAAGGAAGTGAAATTAGCATGTAAAGAGACATGTTCCATATTCAGAACAGCCAAGGCATCAAATCAATCTCAGTGTTTATTAATGAATCAGTAGATAAAGAAAATGTAGTACATATAAAAAATCAAGTATTATTCATCCTTGAAAAAGGAAATTGGGCTGCAGGGATGGCCCAGTGGATAAAGGGCTTGCTGCTCTTACTGCCCCGAGTTTGGGTTCCCAGCAACAACATGTGATAGTGCATGTTTGTGATCTCAGTACTAGGGAGAAGGAGACAGATGGATCCCTGGATCTCAAATGCCACCCAACCTGGCTGAATCAGCAAGCTCCATGCTCAGTGAGGATTACTAGCTCAAAAAAATAAACACTGAGTTGGATAGATGGCTCAGCAGTTAAAAGCACTGGCTGCTCTTCCAGGGGACCCAGGGTTCAATTACCAGCACTCACATGGTTGCTCACAACGATCTGTAATTGCAGTCCCAGGGGATCTGATACTGTCTCCTAACCTCCACAGACACTGTATGCATAGAGCACACAGACATATATGCAGGCAAAACACCTATACACACAATAAATAAAATACAAATTTTAAAGAGCCAGGTATGGTGGTGCATAATTTTAATCCCAGAACTCAGGAGGCAAAGGCAGGAGACTCTCTGTGAGTTCAAGGCCAGCCTGGTCTACAGAGTGAGTTCTTCAACAGCCAGGGCTATTGTAGAGAGACCCTGTTTCCAAATAAATAGATAAATAATGTCAGGAGGTGGTGGTACATGCCTCTAATTCCAGCAATGGAACTAAAAGGAAGAGGCAGGAGACTCTGAGTGAGTTCCGTGGCCAGGTTGGCCTGCATAGCAAGTTCCAGAACAGCCAGGGTTCAACAGAGAAACCCTGTCTCTAACAGCCAAAACCAACAACAAATACAACAAAACCCAACAACCTCCATACACCAAACACACACACATACTCACTCACACACAGAAGTGAGAGGGGGAGGAGAAAAGCAGAAATGAGAGAGGAGATGGAAATCCTGTCATTTGTGGTGGTAGCATTGTGATCAATCTGTAGAATACTGTATTAACCAACAAGCAGCCAGCCACAGAAAACAAATGGAAATAGAATAAAATGGTGGGATTCAGGAGTGTTTGGGGAGGAAATACAGATCAAAGGAGACAAGGTTCACTCACATAGAAATAAATTCATCAAACAGCACATTGATAGTAGTTAATAGCAATATATTATTTTGGAAACGTGCTGAGTGGATTTCAAATTGTCTCATGACAGACAAAAAAAGTGAGGTAATACATGTCAATCAGCTTGTCATTCTACACTGTACACATATTTAGAAAATATATGTTGCATATAATAAAATACACAATTTTTTTTTGGGGGGGGTTTCGAGACAGGGTTTCTCTGTGTAGCTTTGGAGCCTATCCTGGCACTCTCTCTGGAGACCAAACTGGCCTCGAACTCACAGAGATCCGCCTGCCTCTGCCTCCTGAGTGCTGGGATTAAAGACTTGCGCCACCAACATCTGGCTATTTTTCAATTTTTTAAATGAATAAATACATGTGCATTTAAAATATATTGGAAATACATTAAGAAAAGTAACTTTAAATAATATTTAGAAGAATGACAAGTTTTGTTTGTTTGTTTGAGACAGGGTTTCTCTCTGTGTAGCCCTGGTTGTCCTGGAACTCACTCTGTAGACCAGGCTGGCCTTGAATTAAGAGAGATCTGCCTACCTTTGCCTCCTTCAACAAATCCTACAGGTGTGCATCACTACAATCATCGTCTTTAAGTTTTAATTTACAGTAATTTTATTTAAAAACAACTTATTTAATGAATATGAATGCTTTTCCTGCATGTATGTGTGAGCACCGTGTGTGTGCCTGCTGCCTATCAAAAGAGGGTATTCTATCCCCTAGAACTGGAGTTACAGAGTTATGAGTGACCCTGTGGGTCCTGGGATTGAACCTGGGTCCTCCGAAAGAACAGTCCCATAACTGCTGAGCCATCTTCCAGCCCCAATACTAAGAATTTTAAAAAGCAATGAAAAGCAAGCTCTCATTTGTACATGCAAATATGCAGGAATAACTCAATACCCACTTTTAAAAAATTTGTCAAACATCACCAAAGACACATCTCATGTTATACAATTAAATATTTGTAGATGTCCATCTCCAGTGTCTAGGCAGGTGAGGTCACTTGCTCCCCGCTCCATAACTCCCCCCATATGGAGCCTAGGTTTCACATCTAGTGTTCTGACCCAGTCTGGCCACTCCTGTCTGTGTCTCTCTCAACCTCTAATTCTCCAACAGGGCCCCGTCTGCCTCCAATCTACAGGCTACTGTGTTCCATTTCCCAATCAACTGTCTTTTATTATAAAGCTACGTAAGCTGGGGTTCTGTTGCTCTTCAACACTACCTTGCTGACATTGCTAAAGACTCTTAAGATGTAACTATTGCTACCAAACAGAAGGGAAATAAACTGTGTTATTATATTCAGCTTTTAGAAAGGATCACAAAATATGATCTACTGGAGGTTTAATGAATCCTTGCTGTTTCAAGAGACTTTTCAGACAGCAGACATTTTACTTTGGCTGTTTTGAATGGAGATTTCTCTTTTACCCTTCAAAGGGCATTTTTTTTTAACCTATGTCATTGATCCCACAGCCAAAAAATATAGAGCCTTGTAACTTTTACCAGACGCTATGATATGACCCTTAAAACCATAAGTATAGTTTTGCTAAAATTATTATATTCACTTACCTGGTACAATAATATCTCCAAAACCCAATATTGAAACGGGCATGAAGCATACACTCATTACTGAGTAACAGATCAGCTTTGGCACCCTGATCAGTACTGGCAGCTGTAAGAAAGAAAACCAGAGAGGAGCAGGGAGGGTGGAGAAGGAGAAGGAGAGGGGAATGAGAGAGGGAGAGAGAGAATGAACCAATAAATCTCTTCCTAATCTCTCTTTTAAGAAGGGAAAGACTGACACTGTACTAATTGTTTTAGTGTTTTTTAAGCTGATTATTTAAAGGAAACTTAGGATAAGAAGACATAAACATAGAAACATACACATATGTAATACATATATACACTCTGTACAAAAACTTAAATAAGACATGTAGTTTTAGGAAATTAAATCCAACACATGGAGGATGAACAGCATTTAATGCACTCCCCCCACAGCTAAACTTTCAATTTTTTCTTTTCTTGTTACCAAGAATAGGTCTCGGACTTTGATATGTTTTTCATTTTGTTTTGGCCAAGCTACATTTTTTCCCACCCAAAGAGTCTCCTCTCCAAGGGTATGATTTTAAAGTCCAATGAACTTATCTGAAAACAATCCTTACTTTCTCATGGGGAGCTGAGGGTTGACCAGTGGCTTCCACAAAGTTTCCATCATTCTAGGATGAAACCCAAGTCAATATGTATTTAATAATTTAGAATAACTAAGAAAATGGCTATATCTGTGAGAAATAAGTTTTATAATATTTTAACATGCACCCATGACCAATGAGTTATGGGAGGAAGGCAAAATTATGAAACAGACAGGTAGACACTAACTGGATGGACACTCCTATTCATGCCATCCCCACCTTTTCGGCATTCTCAAAAGGCCCAGCGGCAAGTTCCACCATGATGCTCTCGCCGTTCTAAAGGGAGAAAAGTAAGAGATGTTGTTTAGTCTTCTTAAGAAACAACCTGCCACAATGCAAGTATGATTGACAGCCCATGGCACACAGCCTACTGCCAGCTGAACAGGGACTATCAACTGCTTCTTCCTTGGACTCTAGAAACAGCAGAAACTGCAGTCATCTTAAACAAAATTCAGCTAGCACACTACACTTTACTGGAGCTCAATAATTATCAGATTGGCAGAGATACCAAACAGATTATTCAAGTGTACCTGGAGATCTGGATTATACTTACTGATATCTAACATGTTAATAGGTTATAAAATTTAAGTATTTCATTTTTTTTTTTTTACTATGTATACTATGGTTCTTAAGTCATTTTCAACATCAGGAAAAAAAGAGATACTAAAAGCCTTTAAATTTAGCTTTCTACGAAATATAAGTAACCTTATTTGAAAAAAAATATATATTTGACCTTCTGGGTATTTACCACAACAAAACTATGAAGTCAAATTTAAAAGATCCAACCAATATGAGAACCTTCTCCAGCCCGATTCCCACTGAGATTCAATCCTGCCTCCTTCTTTTGTTCCACTCATAGCATTTTCCTGAGTGGTAGTTGAGATACTACGTCTGCTGAAAAAAATGGAAAAAAAGTACTCTAAAGCCCCAGCTATATAAACCCAGTGTATAGCTGCACATTGGTACATACTGTTTGCTTTTTGAAACAGGGTTTTTCTACTTAGCTCTGGCTGTCCTGAACTCAATCTGCAGACCAGGATGGCCTTGAACTCCTAGACATCTGCTTGCCTCTACTTCCAGAGTGCTGGCATTAAAGGTCTGCGCTGGAATCAATGAAGTTTCACTTTTATGAAAAGATCTCTGATAGTGTATTCTACAAGACTGTTTTGTACCAAATAAATTAATACTAGCTTAGACAGCTTTGTTTTGGGCTCTGATCTCACTATGCAGCCCAGGCAGTCCTGGAACCTGATTTGGAACATAGGCTGGCAATCCTCCTGCCTCTTCCCCCTGAATTATAGGCACGTTCTGTCTTGCCAGACTTGAAAACATGCTTTTTAAAAGTGCCCAGTTTTAGTTACAACTCACAATGCTATTTTAATGATTTCTTTTTCCTTCCTTCCTCCCTCCCTCCCTTCCTTAAGGTCACTGGTGCTCATTAATGCCACTGAGCGAGGCCGGGCAGTGCTGGCACACACCTATAATCCCAGCACTCAGGAGGCAGAGGCAGGTGGATCTCTGTAAATTCAAGGCCAGCCTGGTCTACAGAGTGAGTTCCAGGACAGGCTCCAAAATGATATAGAGAAACCCTGTCTCGAAAAAAACAAAACAAAACAAAACACCACTGAGTGAAACAGATCACCTTAATTTCTTGTTTTTTGTTTTGTTTTGTTTTTTGTTTTGGTGGGGGTTTTTTGTTTTTGTTTTGTTTTTGAGATAGGGTCTCTCTGTATAGTTCTGGCTATCCTGGAACTCCTGTAAACCAGGCTGGCTTTGAACTCACAGTGATCTGCCTACCTCTGCCTCCTGAGCACTGGAATTAAAGGCATGTGCCATTACTGCCTGACAGTTTTAAATCTTTATTTCCTAGGTGCAATTTTGGCAGTATATGTCAGAAGTGTAGTTTTTGCAGTGGTTTCATAGATGATATTGTCTACAGAAATGGAGGGGGCTAAGGATATACCTTAGTGGTAGAGTACTTGCATAAAATACACAGGTCCTGAGTTCTATCCTGAGCACAGAAAAATCAAGTTGGACCAGGAGGTGGTGGTACTCGACTTTAATCCTAGCACTCAGGAAGAGGAGGCAGGTGGATCTCTGAGTTCAAAGCCAGCCTGGTCTACAGAGCAAGTTCTAGGACAGCCAGAGCTACACAGAGAAACCCTGTCTCCAAAAAACAAAACAAAAAAGATCAAGTTGGGTTCTACCACTGAAGCCAAAAGAACTCAACTGTGGAAAGCTAGCATGGCTTCTCACTCAGTAGACAGGGACCCTGAAGCACAAGGGGCATCTTCGGTGCACAGGATGGGTCACCAGGTTAGACAGTACTACACTCCAGGCCTGCAGAGTTGGTGTGCTGTTCTTTGTTCTCAGTTATGAAGGCAGCAATGACACATTTCTCTCCCTCTTTCCTTCCCTCTCTCTAAACTGTCCACATTGATGATAAGAAAAATTTACTTTTAAAAGGAAAGAAAAATTGGACATTCTCACTTTATACTAATCAGATGTTCTTTATTTTCTCTAACAAGTAATTGAAAGCTTGAAATACCCTCTACTAAAAGGCCAATTTTAAAGGCAATTCCCTTCAGGAATTAAAGTTCACTCTGAGGTACACAATCGGCAAAACCGACAATCTCTGAAGAGAGTTACAGTTCTCTTCTCCAGGCTGGCAAGATGGCTCAGCATTAAGAGCACCCACTACTCTTGCAAAGGACCTGGGTCCTTACACCCATAATGGGTGGCTTACGGAAGTCTGGTATTCCAGTTCTAGAGGAAAGGATGCCCTCTGCTGGCCTCCATGAGCACCAGGCACGCATGGGGTGCACACGCATACACACAGGTACTCATATATACACATAAAATAAAGATAAATAAACTTTTTAAAAATTTTAGGAGCTATGTGTGGCAGTGCAGGACATGGTGGTGCATGCCTTTAATCTAGAGGCAGGCAGATCTGTGAGTTCAAAGCCAGCCTGGTGTACATGGAGAGTTCTCTACTGGCCAGGGCTATGCTGAGAGACCTTGTCTCAAAGCAAATGAATGGATTTTGAAAAGAGTTTCATCTTTTTTAATGTTTCATCATGATTTTAAAATGCATGTATGGTCATACCTTTGTGAAGAATGGTGTTATGAAGACAAAAAACACATCATAGACCAGGAGAAGGCCTAGCAGTATCACACATGACTGTTGGGAAAAAAAGGGATTTAAAAGATCAAACTTCCTATAGCTAAACTAACACATCAAATTGCTTTGCAAATACAAGTAAGGATGGGAATATACATTTGAACACTGTTTTAAAAGGCATTTCATACATAATTTTATTTAACACATCATTTAAAAATCCTTACTTCCTGCATCCCATTTGCTTAAAAATATCATTGAGCTGAAGAACGTTCTTCAACATGGGGGACTGCTGAGGTAGCTCAGTGGTTAGAACACTGGCTGCTCTTCCAGAGGACTAGAGTTCAATTCCCAGCACCCACATGGCAGCTCACAACTGTCTGTAACTCCAATTCCAAAGGATCTGACACCCTCGTATACATATATATGCAGGCAAAACACCCATCAATGCTCATAAAATAAAAATGAATAATTTTTAAAAAGAATGTTCTTCCCCAATATTTAGTTTTATGAAGTTTTATTAAATGAGAATGAGTGATGAAAAACATTCAGTTAGCATCATACTAGCTGTCTTTGCCTTGGGGTTAGAAGTAAGATCAAACAGGCAGGATGAACTCTCTGAAGACTGGGAAATGGCCTGCAGCTCATCTGGATGGAAGTTATAAAAGCTATACATACATGTGCAACATTTCAACAGTGTAATCAAAATCAGCATGCAAATTATACCTCAATCATACTGTTTAAAAATATTGTTACAGTTATGAAAGTAATATATTTTACCTTGAAATTGGGTAACTTCATTGTTTTGATTAAGTTGAGACAGAAAGCAATTCCTAAGATATCTTGTAAAATCCAAGCCCATCTATAATGAGAAAGAGAGATCAACCTATTGTTTCATTCCATTACTTTTAGATGAAAGATAAATAAATAGATCATTATGGCTATGCCATTCTCCTCATATCCTCCCTGATCAGCAAGTTACTGTCCTGGCAGAATAATGATTGCAAAGGCTACCTCAGAAGAATGTATGTCTCATGCAAGTGTGTCTTCACCTTAATCTTCGCAGCTTTGTGTGTTTCCCTCTACAAAGACAGCTGCCAACAAAATCCTCATGTTCATATCCAGACCAGTTGAACACCAAGTGAAAGCTACACAACTTACTTATTAGATACTAATATGCATAACTAACAACCAGTGATAACATTAAGAACTTTGATAATTATAAAAATATTTCTAGGTCATCAATAGTTTAATTAATAAGCCATTAAACATATGTTATATACTTTCCTCAGGTTTTCTTTCCTGATATGGACAGACACCGGGCTAGCAAGATAGCTGGGCAGGAAAAGTACCTGTTATCAAACCTAATGACCTGAGATTCCCAAGACCCACTGGGTAGAAGGAGAGAGCTGACTCAAGTGGGCCTCTGACTGCCCCAATTATGCCTAGTATGAACACACGTGAGAGACACACACACATACACACAAAATGCAGGTGATAATTTTTTTAAAAGAGAGACACCATATCTGTTGCTCTCAGTAAATGGACAGATATCTTTCATATCCCCTTCTTTCTAATGTAAAAGGCAAAATATGTATTCTTCTACATTTTCCTTTTTTGTGTCTATTCGTTTTTTTTGAGACAGGGTTTCCCTGTGTAGTCTTAGCTGCCCTGGAACTCACTCTGTAGACCAGGCTGGCCTGTAACTCACAGACATCCAATTCACCTGCCTCTGCAGCTACGTGTTGCTTTTATGGTGATTAGTTTTGTCAATTTGACATGATCAGAATTATTTGGGAAGACAATCTCAAAGAGGAATGGTCTGTTGAGGTATTTTGAAAGAAAATAGCCCCCAAAGGGAGTGGTTCTACTAGGAGGTGTGGCCTTGTTGGAGTAATGTGGTCTTGTTGGAGGAAGTCTGTCATGGGAAGGTGGGATTTGAGGTGCCTGTATGCTCAAGATACTGACCAGTATCTCAATTCACCTTTTTTTTTTTTTTTTTTTTTTTGAGACAGGGTTTCTCTATGTAGCTTTGGAGGCTGTCCTGGAACTAGCTCTTGTAGACCAGGCTGGTTTCGAACTCACAGAGATCCATCTGCCTCTGCCTCCCAAGTGCTGGGATTAAGGCGTGTGCTACCACCGCCTGGCTCAATTCACTTCTTGTTGCCTTTGGATCAAGACGTAAGGACTCTCAGCTCCAGAACCTTGTCTGCCTACATGCTGCTTTGCTTCCCACCATGATGATAACGGACTAAATCTTTGAACTGTAAGCAAGTCACCAAAATTAAATGTTTTCCTTTATAAAAGTTGCTGTGGTCAAGGTGTCTCTCCACGACAATAGCAACCCTAACTAAGGAAGTTGTGTTGTCCTGTGGGCATGTCTGTGAGGCATTTTCTTAACTGGGTTAACTCAAGTGGAAATACCTGAATGTGGGCGGCACCATTCCCTGGGTGTGGGTTCTGGACTGTGTAGATGCAGAGATAGGGCTGGGACAGGCAAGCGCCCATGCACTCATTTCTCTCTGCTCTTGGCTGTGGATGTGATGTGATCAGCTACTTCGAGTTCCTGCACTATCACCCACAACTGTGAGCTAAAATACCTATTCACCCCTAAATTGGTTTTTGGCAGGGTATTTTATCACAGTAATGGAACTGAAAATATGACAGCTTTTTCACTTAAAAATACATTCTAGAAATCACTGCATTATCAATTCAGAGACTATTTGCTAAAGTTACAAGGCATTTCAAAGAACATACCATAATTAAGCATAATTTAAGCCTAGACATTTAAAGCATAATCCATTTTCCTTCCCTGTACAAGTGCAAAGCATTAGCCTAAGATCTGTTTATTTGCTGGGTTTGGTGGCTTACACCTGTAACCTCTACACACAGGAGACAGAGGAAACCGGGACATCGCAAATTCAAGGCCAGAGTGGTTTACATGGCAAGTTCCAAGTTAGCAAGGGACACATACAGAGATCCTGTTAAATACAGTATTCATTAAAGAAAAATATTAGTTGGGTGGTGGTTGCACACACCTTTAATCCCAGCACTTGGGAGGCTGAGACAGGTGAGTTTGTGAGTTTGAGGCCAACCTGGTCTACAGAGTGAGCTCCAGGACAGCCAGGACTACACAGAGAAATAAACACAAAAAACAAAACAAAACAAAATTACCTCGTTTTAAGATATGTTCTGGAATAAAAAAAAATCCACAATAATCATAACAAATAAGAGTCAGGACAAGATATAAAACACTGCATCCTTAAATCTAAAACAAACTCAAGTCATCGTACCTATCCTCATTTCTAAACACAGCCCACACAACAGCGACAGAGATGCACAGTCCAGAGAGGAAAATCAGGATCACTTTAATATTTTTGCCGAAACAGGAAATCCTAAAAATAAATCAAAATAGTTCATTTTGCTGTGGATAAAATACAATGTTCACTTGATACAAAGCGTGACAAACATTAACAAGAAGTTATTGAATATTAATCTAGATGTCATGATTTTACATAAAACCCATGAGGCATAACAACTAGTTCAAAATAACCCTTTATAGTAATGGAATGTTCTCTCTGTTTTCCAATATTGATGGCCATTAGCCACAGATGGCTACTGAACACTTCAAATGTACCTCAGGAATTCAATTTAAAAATCTCAAGCATATGGGGGTGAGGGGAGGGAGAGGGAGAAGGGACTTACATGTGTAACAAGCTTGTTCCCTAACTAGAACTAATAAAAACAACAACAACAAAAAAAAAAAAACTCAAGCATAAGCTGGGTGGTGGTGGCACATGCCTTTAATCCCAGCACTACGGAGGCAGAGGCAGGTGGATCTCTGTGAGTTCAAGGCCAACCTGGTCAACAGAGCTAGTTCCAGGACAGCCAGAACTACACAGAGAAATCCTGCCTCAAAAATCAAAAACAAAAATAAAACAAATCTCAAACACATTATTGACTTTAGACTTGGATAGCCATAAATCTAATGTATACTGAATATACAGACCTAAAGCAACACCTCAGTTTTCCAGTATTAAGTTCCATTACAAATTACAGCATTCTCCAAGAGATACTTACGTGCACTGTCCACATGGCATCCTATCAACCAATGCAGCAAGACAGTTGTACAGACTCACTGCTGACGCTATGCAGAAAATTGCTATCATAACATAAACTAGAAAAGAACAAGACAGTTATTAATTCTTTAGCTCCTTTTATTATATAATATTTTCAAGACTGTAACTATAATGTCATCTGTAGTAGTTGCTAAGCTGCAAATATTTATAGCTTGAGTTTTAAAGTGGGGCATGTTGCTTGTGATTTTAGTTGCAACACACACTGCTAGGGAACTGTTAACTGGCTGAAAATGGTTCTACATTTTCTCGTTCTCTTTTTCTTTTCTAACTTTTTGTTTTTTTGTTTGTTTGTTTTTGAGACGGGATTTCTCTGTATTGCTTTGGAGGCTGTCCTGTAACTCGCCCTGTAGACCAGGCTGGCCTTGAACTCACAGAGATCTGCCTGCTTCTGCCTCCCAGGTGCTGGGATTAAAGGTGTGTGCCACCAACTCCCAGCCACATTTTCTATTTTTCAATAATTCAAAGTGACATGTTTGTTAAAAGTTTTGTGAAGTGAATTACAGATATTTATAAACATTTAATTTAAACAGGACTGGTGAGCTTTTGTGCATATGTGTGTCTGTATGTATGTAGGTAGGTACATACATGTATTTGGATATGTGTAGAGGCCAGAAAACAAACACAATTTTATTCCTCAGATGTCTTGTTTCCCTTCTGTTTTATTTTTGAAACAGGGTGAGTCACTAGCCTGGAAGTTTGCCAAGCAGATTACTCTGACTGGCCAGCAAGCTCCAGGGATCGACCTGTTTCTACCTACCCAGTGATGGAATTACAAGACTGTGCCATCAGGTGGGGATTTTTCTGCATGGTTCTAGAATCCAACTCTGGTCTTGTTTGCATAGTTAGCACTTTACCAAAGGAGCTATTTCTCCAAACCTTTTTTTGTTTTGAGACATGTCTCATGTAGCTCAAACTAGCTATGTACTCACGAATGACCTTGAAAACCTTGAACTTATAATCCTCTTGTCCCTACCTCCTAATTCCCGAAGTTACAGGTGCACCATCATACCCAGCTTATTTGACACCTGGAATTGAACCCAGGACTTTGTGCATACTAGGCAAGTACTCAACTGAGTTATCCCAAAATGGATTAAGAAGCAAATTTTTTTGGTAGCCCCGTCTGACCTTAAACTTGCTATATACACGTATATAGGCTTGATTTTGTAGAGATCTGGCTGCCTGTGCCTCCCTGGTGCTTGGATTAAAGGCGTGTGCCACTGGGCCTGGCTTTGAATTAACAAACTATTAATATTTTAGTAATGCAATTTAGGAATGAGAACAAATATCTGCCTTGGGTATCAACAATGTTATCCATGTTTTCCTATAGAGAATTTATAACAACTTGACGTATGTTAAAACTGGTGGCATGGTAACCACCAGTTCAAGACTAGCCTGAGCTATGCAGAAGGTACTGGTCTAGCCAAAACTATACAGCAAGATGCTGCCTCAAGGGAAACACGCACCAACACGCACCCACAGGCACCCACAGGCACCACTCAAATCCATGCAAAGAAACTTTGTTGCAATGGGATACCAAGGTAGTAAAATTTGACAAGCATTCTATATTATCCAGATTTATTTGAAAATTATTTGAAGATATTTTATCTCTGTTGTTATAAAGGGGGTAGGGTTATTATATTCCTTACAATATTCCTTTTCTGAACTTTCTAGAAAATATTGTGATAGAGATACAAGCTGCACCTCAATTTTCAAGGTCTATTTGATTTCAGAAGAATGTAGCTCAGTGGTGGAAGTGAGAAACAGAGATGGTCTAAGTACAGTAAATTTGGGGTTGTCCTGGTTCTGAGTGAAGTTTGATAAGCCACTCTAAGCCCCCTGGTGTTCAGATCTAACACATCAAGTTCATGAAAAGTACACACTGGGTTGTTGTGAGGATTAGATAAGCAATGTATAAAGTGCATGCACCCTGCACGTGTTACTTGTGGTCATGTGTGCTAAGAGGAGAGTAAGACAGACCCTTCATGGATGTCAATTGGATTTTGGTATATCTTCTGCCAAGTTGCCTGACCCAAGTTTTTAACTGCCTGCTAGGTAGCATGTTTCTCAAGGTCATCACAGAGCTTTAGTGCCTCATCCAGTAGGGTACTACCACTTAGGAAATGATCCCATGTGAAGAAGAACTTTATTATCGTAACACATTTCCAGTTGGTTTTCTTTTAAATGTGAGAAGTTTACCGGAAAGCATACTCAAGGCGAACACCAGTTATTTTCCTAAGTATATCTTAATCCTAAAATGGTAAAGGAAGCCTTAGCAATTCAGTACAATCCTGTCAATTATTAGAATATACTAGGAAATAGCAGCCATCTTAGCCATGAAGACTCATTTTGGGTAAACAAAATCTAGAAATACTCCATGAGGCATTGGCCAATCTTAATTAAGTACTATGTCTTAGAATAATTAAGAAGTTGAATGATTTCCTTCTCACATTAAAAATTATACTTGTAAATGTTCTTTTAACATTTTTAATTATATGTCCATATGTGTGCCTGTGAGTGTGGTTCCCAGGGGCATTGGACTCCCTGGAGCTACAGTGACGGTTGTGAGCTGCCTCATGTGGTGCTATGAACCAAATGGACCCTTCACAAGAGTACATGCCCTCAGAAGCTGAACCATCTCTCCGGCCCCAATTTTTCAGTATTTTGACATAGAGTCTCATGAACAATTCTGAGGCCTAGGTTGGCCTAGAAATTACTACATATTCCAGGCTGGCCCCACACCCACATCACTCGTCCTGCCTCAGCCTCTTGAGAACATGTACACTAGTGAGTGAGTGTGTGTTTTTGTAGTAATTTTAATTTTAATTTTAACATATCTCAGTAATTAAAACCTGACATTTTTGTACATTAAGCATATTGTTTACATTATTTGCTTGTTTGTCAGGTGATTTTTTTTTATTTAACATAATTTTCAGATGAATGTTTTAAAGGGAAAGATGAATCTAGCAATGTAAATGGGGGGGATACAGCACACATAAAACCCAGTTTCTTTTATTTCTGGTTGTGAGCCTAGCCTTTAATGGCTGAGCCATCTCTCCAGCCCTAAAAACCAGTTTCTTACCAAGCCACTTGTAGAAGAAATAGAGTAAGACGATCATTACACAGCAGATGACCACAAATGCGACAACTGTAAGAGGGCTGAAAGTCAAATACTCGTCCTTCTTTCTCCTCGTCTCTTTCTCGTCAGCATCTGTCACTGACTTCATGTTTTCCCTGTATAAACACACACAGAGAAACATCAGCAAGGCTTTACCACGCTCGGTTATTTTTCAAAAAGTCCCTTTCTAACATCAACTTAAGCTTAATTACAAAGGTAATGCACTTTTAAAAAGTACCGGAGGTATGGTGGTGGCACATGCCTTTAATCCCAGTACTTGGGAGGCAGAGGCAGGCGGATCTCTGTGAGTTCCAGGACAGCCAGGACGTTACAGAGAAACCCTGTCTCAAAACCCCAAAATAAATAAATAGTACCAAAAAGAAATACTTAATCTAGAAACTAAAACATCCTATATTCCTACTCTCCAGAGATAATCTGTCACTACGCAAATTTGAAATAAGAACAGATGACGTTTATTATATTAACAAGTTAATGCATTTTGTTAATAAGCAAACTCAGTATTTACTATACGTCTATTCTGTGTTCATTAATGCATTTGGAAGAATTTTTAAATTCCCAGATTCAGTCCTGTCCTACCTTTGTTACTTTCCGTGAATTCTCCCAAGTAATCACCTCACTAATAAAAGGCAGAGACAGGTGTCAAAGAGAAAGGAGCAGCAGGTGGCTTTGGTAAGTAGACAGCTTACTGTCTCTGCTATCACATCACTGTATCATCCGGGTTACACAGAACCTAATCCGTGTTCCCAGCCCTAGTTTCTTCACCTCTGCCCTGTTCAACACCCTGGCGTGCATCTACTGGCCTTGATCATTAAGTCTGGGCTCACTTCATATCTAAACATTTTCACATTTGCAACTGTTAACCAACACACTACTTTTCCATCAGGAAATTACAGACGATTGTCATGGTCTCAAGTGTGTGGCATCTGCAACTCTAGACAGGCTGCCTGGATATAGGACAAGACTAGTGCAGAGACACCAACACCTCCCCCAGAACTCTGGATCAGGATGTTGGTGCATTAACAGAAGTTTTAGTAATGTGGTACCTAAGTGGAAAAAGGTGCCGGCCTTTGGTATCTGTCATTGAAAATAAATAAAACACATTTACAGTAGACATGCAAGCCATAATGCTTCACATATTCATATCCACATATTGAAGAGCATAAGGCGCTCCCCATTCTGAAACACATTCTTGCTATGTAGCACAAGCTGGCCCTAAACTTAATATGTAACCCGGGTACTTTCAAACTCATGATCCTCCTGACTCAGACTTGGGAGCAGTGGGGTCATAGGTGTGTACCACCATACCTGACATAAAACACTTAATTTGGGGGGATGCATTGGGACAGGGTCATATGTAGCCCAGGCTGGCCTAGAACTCAGTATGTAGCCAAGAATGACCTCCACTTCTCAAGTGCTGTGATTATTATGGGCATGAACCACCATACATAGCTTTTATAAAACAATTTCTAGACAGGGAACCAACTACCTGATTTATACATTAAATATTAGCATTAATTGTATTCTTTTGGGAGTTCAGTGGTTCAAACAACTAGGTAAAAGGTCAAAACACTAGGCAAAATCTCTACTAGCGAGCTATATTCCCAGTTCATGCTGTGAGATTGTACTCTGTGTGTGAGTGCACACCTGCCACAACAAATGTGTGGATGTCAGAAGACAACTTCAGGAGTCAGTCCTTGGCCCTTGTTGTCTTCTCTGTTTGGGACAGGTCTAACTGGCCTTCGAGTGTCCACAGATTCCCATCTTGCTGTGGGAGCACTTGGGTTACACAGCTGTGTCCAGCTTTATGTGAGTTCTACGGTTTTGGACTCAGGTCCTCACACTTGTGCAGTGAATACTTTAACCACTGAGTGTCTTGATAAGCCGCCACAGAGTATTTAATGTGAGTTAAATGTTTCCCTACAAACAAATAATTCAGGTGCCTACAACCTTCCTATTAAAAAAAAAGGACAATCTTGCAATCTGGTCTGGTCTTAATGGCACTATACACACTGAGGTAAAAATGTAAATATTTTTGCTATTAAGATTATCATGAAACACTATTTAAAACCATTTATCAGGAAGCCATAAAGAGTTTAATTAAACTTACAATTCAATGAGTCCACTCCAGTATCCTCCTAATGCCACAGTGAACACAGCAATTACAAAAATAACCACCATAGTATAGTCAAAGTTAGGCCAGGATGGAGAATACATTTGCACGGTAATGTTATCTCCAAGAGTCTGAAGGGCAAAGTGACAGTTAAACACAGGAATGAATCTGTGAGAGCAGAGCAGCAACATCTACATTTCATCAGGGAGCTGGGAAGATGGGCAACTAGAAGCTCATTCAGTCCTTCAAGCTCCTTGTTAGCACATGGAGAACGAGTAATACTCAAAATCGAGTATAGTGATCAAATGCAAACAACTGTACCATTTATAAACACACAATATGCAATTACTAACCTGTTTCATGTCTTTTAAGTCTTTTTGGCTTATAACTGCAATTAGTATAGTCATATTTTGGAATTCAGATCTGTTCCTTGAGGAAGGAAGCTAATAGAAAAAAAAATGAAACTTGATTAACTACTAATACATTTACAGAAGAAAAATATACATACTACTACACTAAGTGCAAATATTATATTGAATTGTAAAACCAAAGCTTCATTATTCTTTCTTAACAATATGTAAGTCCTCAAAACAAAATCCTTCTAACATGAACTTAGATATACTGTACATGACATCACATGGTATAGACACTGTATAAACATACAACATACATACACACACACACACACACACACATATATATATCTTAACTCTAAGACTCCAAGTCCTCTCAACTCTAGAAATACAGCAAAAACTATAAAACTTTCTGATTGGAATGTTTTATTAATAAATCTAGAATACTTATTAATAATCTACAAGATTATTAAAAGTTCAGCTTCTAGGACACACACACAGAGTTAACTCAGTTCCCAGGAGACTTGGTGTTCAATAGGCTCACTAGAAGTCACTCCATTTTCACACTTACGAGGACACTGCTGTTGGCAATCAGCAATGCTTCAGCACCACCTTGCTGTGCAACCCTGGCTTTCTCAAGAAAATTGCAGGGTCCCCATTGTACCACCACTGCTTTGTTCTTTATGCCATCAGGAGGAATATCAGAAGGGTGGCACAGTGGCGTGCCAGTCAGATTCATCAAGCTAAGAGAAGTCTGAAAAGAAGAAATGTTTTAAATAAAACAGATACCTTATTTCATCTACCAGCATTCAGCAACAAAACACCAACCCTGGTTTAATACAATGTGCTTTAGGGGCTGGGATGTAGCTCAGGGGTAGAGCATGCACTGACGCCTTAGTTAACCAACAAAACCAACTTTATGACAGAGAGGTACAAATGTCAAAATTCCCCAAATCTGGGGCCAGAGAGATGGCTCAGCAACTTAGAATATTGGTTGCTCTTCCAGAGGGCCCAGGTTCACTTCCCTGCTCCCACATGTCATCTCATGACCATCTGTAACTCCAGGGATCTGACAACCTCTTGAGGCCTCTGCAGGTAGTAGGCATGCATGTGGTATACAAACATACACGCAGGCAAAACACCAATACATAAAGTCAAGTAAGTTATCTTTAATCATTCCCAGCACAGCAGCACTTGTCTATAATGCTAGCCCTCCAGAAGCAGAGACAAGGAGATCTCCAAGACTCTGAGGTTATCCCGGTTGACAATAATGAGTTCCAGGCTAGTCAAGTCTATTTAGTGAGACCGTGTCTAAGAAAAACCAAAGAATTCCCTAAATCATTTCTTTAATGAAGAGGAAAACACTGAACTAAAGTCAACAAAGTATTTTTTAATCATCAAATACCATAACTGAGCCATACCCTAAAATATAGTTATTACTCCTATTCAATATTTTTATTATTATGAATAATTATCATGTTATTTACTTACTGCATTTTCTAGGGAACTTGGAAGTGTTGTCCATTTAGGGTTATAATGCATGCAATAGTCCTTGGAAAGTAAAGATGCGCCATTTGCAGACGCATGCAGGATGGCTTCCTGAGCAGCTGTCTAAAATACAAACAACAACTTTCATGGTGGCGGCGTAATTAGGCTTGTCCGTAATTAAGGATTTTAATAAAACTACTTATATGCAGGTTTGATCACATTTCCTAAAGAGGGCAAGTCCTCCTCCAATGAGTTTATTTACTCTAATTTAAATAGCCCAGGAATAATGAAACTAAACACACTTGTCTAGAGCTCATTCTTTGGGGAAGATGGGTCAATTTCTTACAAGATTAACCATGACCCTTGTCTTAAGGGCAACATCCCTAGGAGGGCTCTTGCTGTGATGTAATAATGCCAGCCTGCCCTCTCAGCTTGACACTCTTCTCTCCACTCTTTGATGAGTTATGACTTCATCATGAAGAAGAGTGGACCCAAAACCTCTCCGTGGGGTTAAAGAGAGGCAGGAGTACTTCTAAGTATCCTCTGTATAATACAATCACCTTATATTTAAAAGCATTTCACTCAAGTCTTCAAGAACTTTCAACAGCCTATCCAAATACACCAAGGCAGAGTGTAAGAGAAAAATTGCCTGACGGGTGGTGGTGGTGGCCAATACCTTTAATCCCAGTACTCAGGAGGCAGAGACAGGTGGCTCTCTGTGAGTTCAAGGCCAGCCTAGTCTACAGAGCAAGTTCCAGGACAGTCAGGGCTATATACAGAGAGACCCTGTCTCAAAACAATCAAAAATAAATAACATAACATAAAAAAAACTAGAAGGGCTGGCAAGATAGTTCAGTTGGTAACTGCACTTGTCACTAAAAATGACCACCTGAGTTTGATCCCAGGACCCACAAGGGGGAAGGAGAGAAATGACTCCCATGAGTTGTCCTTTAGCATGACCATACGCCCTGACATATACTGCCCCAAATAAATAAGACAACAAAAATAACTTTTAAAAAAAGAACTAGAATACTTTCATTTTGTCTTATTTCCTATTGCCTAGAAAGATAGGGGGAAAGGACAAAGTGATGGAAAAGGATAAGGAAGGTGGGGGGGGGGGACATGGGAGACACGCAGAGACATCTTCAAATGTTTAGCATACTGCTCCTGTCATCCACCACCTTCAACAGATGTTCTTCCTGTCTTCTCGATGAGCAAATTATCTCAAAATCCACAAGGAAGAAAAAGAGGTCCAGGGAGATGGGTCAGTAAGTGAAAACACAAGCAGCCAAGGCTAATGACCCAAGTTCCATACCTGAGCCCCACATGGTGGATAGAAAACAAACCCCTGCAAGTTGAATTCTTGACTTCTGCCATGGGCTGGGCACAGGAAGGCACGTGTGCACAGACATAGACAAGCATACACAAAATAAACACAACATACAAGCCTTTGGAGCTAAAGCACACATTCTGTTGGTTTTTCAAGACAGGATTTATCTGTGTAGCCTTGCTGTCCTAGAACTCGCTCTGTAGACCAGGCTGGCCTGGAACTCAGAGAAATCTTCCTGCCATTGTCTCCCAAGTGCTGGGATTAAAGTCATGTGTCACCATTGCCAAGCTTCATTCTTTTCAAGGCATTAAAAAGGCATTTTGTCATAGTGACAGAAAGCTAACTAGCAAAGGAAGACTGTTGCTTATGACTATAGCTGATAATATGGCCCATAAGCCATTGACATTAGTTTGCAGGAGAAGTCTGGAAGTGAGGAGAAGCAGGCTAGAGAAAGCCTACAATGCTGTAAGAAGAGCTTAACAAGGCCATTCTGGGGGAGAGAACAGAAGAGCAGAATGCTGACAGCAATGTAGACAGTCAAAAGGCAGACTCACCAACTCACAGCTGGAATGATGACTATCGAATTAGGCTAAAAGCAATACGTGGTACATTCTGGCAAAGAATTTGTCTTCATTTTGTCCATACTCTGACTCTGTGGGAAGCTGAGCTTAAAGGACTAACCTGAAAGAGGTAACGTACTGGTAGCTTGGTGTTCAAACTGTATAGCACAGGTACTATTGGATGCTTTTAGTTAAGATTTACGATGAGAATCAGAGGCACAAACACTACAAAAGTATTTGGAATCCTTGCAATTTGTCCAGAAAAGGGATATGTTTAAAGTTGCAATCATGGGAATAGATCACCCATCCACCCCCAACCATTAAAAAAAAGAAAACCCTCAGAAGGCTAAGAATGAAGCCTACAATTCATGAAGCCTTGTGTTTGAGTTTGGTGGTCCATGCCTATAATCCCCACACTCAGTACAATCAGAAGTTCAGGGTCATTCTTGGTTAGCTCAAGGTCAAAGGTAAGTT